CTGGCTGGGGCATTCTGGGAGTTGGAGTCCCCCCATCTTCAAGTCGCCACGGTGGAGAAACACTCTCACAGATAGATTTTTGTACTTTTACTCCTCCGAATGAATGTCCACTGTTAGCCCCCTTCCTGAATTTACCCCCTCTGTACGGCTGCCCATCGCCACATCCAGTGGTGGTAAATTCCACCCAGCGTTTTCAAGAAAAAAAAGGGAGAGGGTCTTTCTTTCATTGGCATTTGCCTCGCCTTGGATGGCAAGCTCGGCCTCCCCTCTCGAAAACGGCTGTGCTTTAAAACAGAAAGGGCACTGCGGAGGAACCTCGTGCCTATTCCAAACCTGGGAGAAGTCCAGTTTTGGAAGCCCAGAGAGATGCCCCTTCCGTGCCTCAGGCTGGGGGAAGAAGCCCTGGGGCCGAGGGCAACCCCTGGCCAGGGTGGGAAAGTCTCGCCGAGCGCATCCAGAGGGCAGGGCCGGATGAAGGCCCACGGATGCCCTGAGCGCAGCCCAGCAGTGGTGCCCCACCTCGCCCTTGCATGGCTTGGCATGAAAACTGAAGCCAAGTGGCAGGGAAAGAGTGGAGGGCAGGATGGTTGGGGGGAAAGCTCCGTGGGGTTCTCTTTCCCTCGGGGCCCTAAGCTCGAGTTTATGGTGTTTAATGGTTAATCCAGAGCTGCTGCTGAATGCTGGGCCTGGCGTCTGCTTCTCCGTGGTGGAGTTTTTATTTTCTTTTAGCCCCTGGATGGTTTGCTCCCCTGCCTTTCTGTCCATCCTCCCATCGCCCTCTCGGCTTTCTTCCTCCTCCTCCTCCTCTTCCTTTTTCCTTCTCCTTCCTCCTTCCTCTTCTTATCCGCCCATACTCCTCCTCCCCCCTCTTCCCCTTCCTCCCTTTTCCCCCTCCCCTGTCCTCCCCCCGCCAGCCTTCCTCTTCCTCCTTCCTCCTCGCTGCCCTTCCTCCGCATTCTCCTCTCCTCCTCCCGCCTGCCTTCGCAGAGCATCCCCGCCCCGCGGGCCCGCGAATGGGATTCCGATTCCGAGCGGAGCCCAGGAGGGGGAGCAGCCTCGGCGCCGGGGAGGGCT